TAAAATTTACAAGATGAATTACCATTTGGACGTCGCTATGAGACAGATTCCCGACAAAGTTACGTCGAACTATAATTTTGTTAATTTCGCATTAGTTCTAGATTTGTTGGATAAGGAATGCGCAAACCTGTTACACCGATCCTGCTTATGACGGTAACTTTGGCAAGGTTAGGAGATGCATTCAATGAATGCGACGATATGTTTGACAAGTTGAAGTTGAGGATTTTTATACTAGAGAGCATACTGAGGTGTCATCACAATAAGACGTCATTCGACGTCTTTCATTTGGAAGTTGTTGATGACATTGACACATTAAACAACTATCCATGGAGACAAAGCTCACAGTTATCAGCTCTCCTTAACGATCTTGAGGTACGTATTATTCATTTGTGATTTAAGTTGTATGTCATTTCGAAATCTCGATGCATGCATGGTTATTAACTCGGTTGAAATGTTAATATGTCAGCTTGAATTGCTCGCTGAGCTGACACCGTTGATCAAAGAAGAGGGTCGAAGTCATATCTGAGGAGATACAGTCTGCAGGCGATGAGGGTCCCAGATAGTGACAGAGAATAGCGAAGATGGTGATAGGGAGGGTGGCGATGGAGGGGTGAGGATGTACACAGATGTTTCATCAGAATCATTATGAATGTCAGTGGAGATGGAAGAGGTGCCGATCGTGGGGACGAAATAATTGTAAATATTTCTTTATTTATGAAATAATTGTATATATATTGTAAAATTTATTTAAATAAGGTAATGAAATATTAGATACATACTATACGCAACCAATTAAGATAATTGATAAATGAAATATCTAAATAAGAAATTAAATTAAATATTAATTTTTTATTTAATTAAGTGATTAAATAAATAATTACACAACGTAAATAAATATTAAATAAATAATATACATAACTATGCCGAAGAGGACCCCTAACTTGACAGATAACATCGCGAGTTTGGATGACACCCTGTACGAAACATATTATTGACGTGCCAGAATAAATGGTTAGCAAGAGGACTAGATTGCTATCACAATACATTGTTTCTCCGTACACGATCGAGGCAAAGTAGAGAACATCTGTTGACAGTACGTTGCCCAACCTCTTCCGTGAAATCGACTCGGGTGATTGTGAAATCTTCGCATTGAAGTTAGGACCGTAAATGGATCGGATCTGCTCAAATCTGATCCGATCCGTTAATAATAATTATCCTATTCTATTCTATCCGATCCGATTCAATAATCTGACGGATATTTGAATGTTAAATCCATATCTGATTAACCATGTTATTGGATATCCAATTCGAAATTGAAAAAATTAGATAAATAAAGATTTTATTTATTTATCAGATTAGATTGACCTATATCCATATTTGATTTATTTAGTTAATGGATTATCGGATTTGAATCTCGATTGGGTTATTGGATTGAGACCCTAAATCCATCTCCCATTAATTTTATCAGATTCAGATCAAAATCCAATCTATTGACAGGCCTAATTGAAGTACATTGAATTTTTAGTATCGAACGTGGCGTAGAGTTGATAAACTAAACACACATTAATATATATAACTATGCCGGAAATGACCCCCAACTTAACAGATAATGTCGCTAGTTTGGATAATGTGACATTATGCCGGAGAAAACGATGAAAGTAACATTATGTAAGAAATTATGCCGGAGAAGATGATGAAAGCGACATCCGTCGATGGTACGTTGCCCAACCTCTTCCGTGAATTCGAACCAGGGCGATTGTGGAATCTTTGCATTGAAGTTAGGGTTCTAAATGGATCGGATCTACTCAAATTCGATTCGATCTATTAAGAATAATTATCCTATTTGATCCAATCCAATAATCCAACGGATATTTGAATGTTAAATTCATATATGATTAACTATGTTATTAGAAATTAGATCCGAAATTGAAAAAATAAGAAAAATAAAAATTTTATTTATTTTTCATTGAAAATCATAGCCCCAACAAGATTTTTATTAATTATTTATTTTAAAAAATATTTGAACTATCTTGATGGGCTCACTTATTATAATAGAAGGCCTA